TTGATATTTTTATAAATTTTGGGATTAAAATGACTCCAGCAAAGAGGCGAGGGACCATTTTGACATTTTTTTTAAAATTAGACATTATAATGGAGGTAGAAGATAACCCATTCATGCTCATGATAGCACATTACTAAATGTTTTGAATCTAAACATTATCATCCCAACGTTCAAGACAACGCACAGTTTTAATCATTCTTCAAAAATACTTGTGGTCATCAATGACACTCATGTACTATACTATCAATTGATAACTAAAACATAAAGGGAAATTTACATATTTAGCACGCAATTTTGTTGTATTTACCAATCTCATGCCTAAACTTTTATATTTAAATACATAGCACTTTAGTTCTTTAAACATATATATCAGAAATCTTGATACGAAGATACATCAAAGACTTCAATCATAATCTACCACACGTACTCGATGGGGCCGGACTGTACGAGTGACAGTCAATAATTGGAGCATCAGAACTCCTAATGTAATATTTTCTCTTAAATATGAAAGTTATGCAAATCGAACCGCACCAATTTCCCCATACCGAAACCTCCTCTGCCCTAACCGCAACCTTTTCTCCTTCGATCTACACTGCTTGAAAACCGAAGGTTTGGGATTCCATCTGTTCGAAGCCACGCGATCCCCTTACCCCAAGCGTCTCTCTCGTCGTCTTCCGCCTCGAATGAAATTCTCTGTCTTTACCTCAAGCCGCCGAACCTTTCTTCTTCCTCCCAGTGCCGACGCCGAACTCCCCGTAAATCTCAAGATTCTTCGATCTTATCTGCACCGATGCCCAATTCTTCCCTATTCGAACTGAAGCCGATCGATTCTCCTCGCTACGTCTCCGTCAAGTGATCTCCCTGTGTCGCGATCCTTTCTGTCGAGCCTCTATGCCCTAGCCTTCAGCCGCTCGGTGCTCCTCATTGCCATCGCTACAAGCCTTCAGCTGCACCTCCTAAACCTAATGGTTTCCTTCTGCCCTAGCCTGCGGACTTGAATTGCTCCCCGCTATACAAACCTTTCCATATTAAATCGAAACCAGCCTATTTCTACTAACCCGAACAAAGTCCACCAGCATGCTTACTTGTACTATTCATTTGATTTTATTTTTGAATGTTACAGTGTACTGTAATAAAAAAATAACATTTGTCGCACTTCAGTTTTTATTTTATCGGTTACGCCCGTCAGGGATCCAATGGTATAATTGCCCCTGGTGCAAACGAGAAGTTTTTGAAAACCTCCATTCGAAACAAAGAATCTGTTAAGCTGGAAAAATGCGAGCTCTTTTGGAGAATTCCTTTAAAAAATTGAGGTTAGAAAAAAGGAGAACTCTTCAAGAGAACTATTTTTTTTTAAATTGGGGGCTCTTTGTTTGCAATCTTAACCTTCTTTCAGATACAGTGAAGACCTGTTGCATCTTTTGAGATTACAGGTTAAACATTATTTTTGCTCCCCATTGCTTCTTTTGAGACCGTGGGATGTGAATTTTCAAAGCCCACAATTCCATCATTTATAACAACAGCAATAAACCTTTATCACTACATGAATCCTTTCTCACCATTTTATCCTAATGAGTGTCATATTTTCATTTAATTCTAATAAATTATGATCATTTTTTTATACAACATACCTAAGTCTTTTTAGGTCTACCGCTACCTTTCTAAACATAAATTGAATCTAAAACATCTACTCTCCTATCAAGATCACCATGTGGTTGAGTTTTAACGTGACCAAACCATCTAAGATGAGTCTCTCTAATCTTCTCTGCCACTAGAGCTACACCAACCATTTCACGGACACATTCGTTTCGCATTTTATCTCTAAGAATCAAACCGCTCATCCACCTAAGCATTCTTATCTCAGCAACATTTAGCTTAGTTTTGTGCTTCTCTTTTAAAGGCCAACATTTTGTGTCACAAAGCATTACAAATCTCACCACCATCTTATAAAATTTTCCTTCAAATTTAAGTGCTACTTTTCTAGCACACAATAGACCTGATGCATTCCTCCACTTTAACCATCCAACTTGAATTTTGTTAATAACATCCCCATCTATATCACCATCAATTCAAACAATAGGCCTGAGATATCTAAAAGTTCACTCTTTTTAATGATTTAATCACTCCTTGTTACAACTCTTCCACTAGATTTATTACTACTAAAATTACATCCTAGAGATTCAGTATTAGATTTGCTCAACCGAAAGCCTTTAAAATCTTATGTAGACCTCCATAATTCAAGTCTTTAAAATGTCATTCAATAATTTATTAACCAAAAGTTCATATTGTTAAAATAATAATAGTAATAAATTTAATTATGCACAAACTTCAGGTGCAGTAAGTAGAGAAGATTTTTTTCATGAGTGGAATGGGAAATAATTTCATCTTTGCATGCTTAAGTGAGTTTTGACCTGGGGTTACGTACATGAAAGTCAATGTACTAATATCTAACAACAAATCTATGGTTATGGAAGATAAACAGCCTTCGTTATAACATTTCTAATTATTGTGAATCTTATAAATGATTTGTGTGTTTGTTGAAAGTCAATGTACTAATATCTAACAACAAATCTACGGTTATGGAAGATAATCAGCCTTCGTTATAACATTTCTAATTATTGTGATTCTTATAGATGATTTGTGTGTTTGCCATTAGCAGATAGAATTATGCAGCAAAAAGAAATAACCAAATTTATAAAAATCTTGATTAGAGATGGCTAATAGCAGTTTACCAAAGTGCATAATCACAAGAAGTTAAGAAATTATCATGAAAGTAGCAATTCATTAAAAGGAAAATCAGTGCAGGAAATTGTAAGCCGTATCTATGGACATTAAAACAATACCAGGAAATAGATCAAGCTGTAAAAAAAACAAAATTTATATGGCAACTTAAAAAAGTAAATTTAAGTGGAAATTACAACATAGCACTCAAAACATTGCTATTTGCAAAACTAGGACGCACCCTCTTTCACCCATTTTTTAAATTCTCCCTCAAAGATAAAAAAATTATGATAAAACCCCAACTCATATTTTTTATAATTATCAAATTCCCAATGATTTGATCGTAGCACTTGTTGATGCATTGGTTCGGTAGTTCAAAAAAATATACAGAGTGCTAGTTTCCTAAATAGCAATGGGGCATTTACATACATACCACACAATTCTTATGTATTTACATATCTAACTCCTAAACATTCATATTCACATGCACACCACTCATTACATAAAAAATACCGCTATCACAACCTTTTTAAAAGTGAAATGCACCTTTTCATGCATATGTTTATGACCCCAAGGTGTTATAAGTGTAAATATCAAAATTTGGGAATTAAATATGTAAATACATAAGAATTGTGTGGCATGTATGTAAATTCACCAAACATAAATTTGGCTGGAGTAACGTCACTCCCTATCATCGCCCCACACATTTTGTAAAACTTTAAAAATTATCAACATGCATGGTTGTAAAGATTTACAATAAACTGTTATATTCAAATCAACTAAGAAGATGAATTCTGCTATTTCTCATCAATAAAAGGGGAAAAAATATATGAAAGATTATGCTCTATACAATAACTTAGTGTACAGTAACTTCAAAAACTCATAAAGAATTCAAATATGAAATTTGAGGCTTTAAGCAAAATACATACAGAACAAATAGACCATTCAGACAGACACAAATAACACAACTTCTATCATCAAAATAATCCTTGGCAAACAAAATCAATAAGCTCATTCATACCCTAACAAGTATTCAGCACTATCATTAACGAGTCAAAAAGCAAACAAGAGATTGATTGAGCTGCACAAACCTTGTCTCTTGAGGAAAAAAGCCAGCTTGCTTTGCTGGAACCAATAGTTACAGTTTCATTTCCTGCTCTTATGATCGAAGCAGAACTCAATCGCGGTTGATTGTGTGTTCCAGCGTTGATGATACAGAAAGAAACTTGGCAATGGAAGTATAGTGAATAAAAAAGACATCCGGACCACACACCATGAAGATTTCAGCACTTCGGGCTGTAAGAAAATACTACATGTCCCTCCATCTAGGGCTCGTCAGAGGTAGGAAGCCGGAGGGTGAAGGTGGGAACAATAGAGTCGGAGAAGGCGGAGGCTGAGACCCCGGCCCCAATAATCCGGATTGGGGCAATGGTGAGAAAGAGAAATTTGGGCTAAATGGCTGCGGATACTGAAATCCGGGAGAAAGTATTGGGTAGGGCGATTTTGGTGATAGAAGATTCAAGAAAGAGCTTGGAGACGGCAATCGTGACAGTGAGTTTGGAGACGGTAAGAGGAACTGAGATCCAGGAGATAGCAGAAGCCCCGGTTGCATGGAAGCCGGCACAGAACTTGCATAAGGAGGGTTTCCCCTCGGAGATAAACTTACATAAGAAGGAGGGTTTCCCCTCGGAGACGAAGACGAGGGAAAATGCGCTGGCAGCAAGCCCTGCGCGGGGGCACGCCTAGAGCTATCTGCGCTGAGAAGAGAGGTCTCGAGGTACCTCATATATGCGGATACCGGCGAATCGGTCCAAGCGGCGCCGGTGAGGGCAGCCGGCGACTGCGCTGGCCGCGGGTAGAAGCCGGGATTCGGATTAGGGTTTTGATTCGGCGCCGAACTCTGCAAAGGAAGCGGCGGGGGGCGGGAGATCGGATTGAGGGGTGGCGGCCGGATTTTCATGAGCCGGGAGCTGGGAGGTTTGGGTTGAGGAGGCCTTGCCTGCGCGGAAACGTTTACAGGGCCAGCAGGATCGCGAGCGGGACTTCCAGTGAGCCGCTGCACGATGGTTCGAAAGTCACTTTTGCTGATGTTGTACACCTGGGGGGGCGGCGGCGGCGGTGTCGCAGTCGCCGGGGGAGGAAGTTTGTGGAAATTGGGCTGATGAAGTGGACTCTTGCGGATGCTCTTTCCGAGCTTGTTTACACCAAGGGGATGGTGGTGATAGGTTTTGGAGTTTTGATCCATGTCTGCGCGATCAGTAGATGATGAACGGAAGTGAAAACAGCGCCTGCTTCCTCTCTCCGGCG